GTTTTTAGATAGAGAGAGGAAGGGGGAGAAAGAAACATTGATTTGTTCTACATATTTATGCATTCATTGGTTGTTTCTTGTGTGGATCCAAGCCACAACCTTAGCATATGGGGACAATGCTGTTATCAACTGAACTACCTGGCCAGGGGCTAGTTGATGTTTGTCTCTTGCCCACAGAAGTCCTAGACCCTTCCTTACCCTGTTGAGAGCTGATCCTTCTTCAGAAATCCTCAGCTTCGATGTCTCCACTGCTAAAAGATCTGCCAGGCTTCCAGGCTGGCTTTGGCCCCATTGTGGTGTTCACGCAAACCCACATTCTCTGTGGTGGGCTACATCACACTTTTCTGCAATTGCCTGACTAGGTCTGAATTCCCTCAACTGGCCATATGGCCTGGCACAGAGCAAGCTTTCTGTGACCATCTGGAGAATGAGTGAATGAATGAGCAAATGAATCATCATAGTCAACGTTATATAGTCATTTGTGATTGGCTTATTGAGTTTCCTTTCTCTATGAGCTGGGTCTATAGTCTTCCCTCAGCCTTATTCCTACTTACTTGGTCCAGTTTCTAAGAAACTGTCTGACTTCTTTGTACCATCCAGGTTGAACAAGACCACTGGGAGTGGAGGGTAGGGAGGACTTTTGGATAAGGTTTTTCCTCTGGGATAAGAAGTCTCTTTCTTCCTCACCCACACCATCTTTTTTCACTTTAACTTCCAAAGAAGCAAAGTCAAAATCACAAAGATCCTCAGGCATCCTCAGGGTGGTCCTCCTCCTCTTCTGTCAACTCATTTATAAACCCATCATTCATTGGTGGTAGCTAGGTACTGGCCTGAGCACACAGGCCAACATTGGATATTTATTTATTATCTGAAAATTCCCCCCAACCCTCCCCAACCATAGGGCACAGATTATACTGTCTAGTTTACCCTCTTTATAGCCCAAATATCTAGTACTTAGACTCAGTAAATATTAGCTGAATGAATGGATGAGTGCAGTCTAGATTTCTGATACGATCCCAGCAGCTGAGTGCTGTGAGAGCAGGTTTAAGACCTCCACTTCCTCCAAGAGTCATCTATTTGCTTATTCTCAAGGTCCATTTGATGTGTTTGACTTTTATGCAAGCCCTCAAGGGTGAAAGGAAGAATAGCCCGTGTCTAGGTCCCTTAGATAAGGATCAATTCACTGTGAAATATTTGTACCACAGAGAACTCCCACCTCGACCCCAACCTATGCCTATTCTTTTTCTACCTGGGAATTCTTTCCATCAGGTAACTTAATTTACCTTCACATGCAACACAGAGACAGTTCACTATGATCTCAGATGTATTTTTTTAAAGGCATAGAAAAAGTTTGGGGGGAAATATGGTTAAACATTAATAGCAGTTGCATCTGGGTGTGGGGTTTATGGTTAGGTTTTTTTTTTATGTTTTTCAAAATTTTTCTACAATGGACTCCTGTTTTCATAATAAAGAAATTTTGGCAGAATGTTTTTAATCGTGTAAAACCATTGTTCTTGATAAACTGGAACCCTTTACCTTCCAGGTAAGGGACAAGTTAAAAAAAATAGCTGGTTTGTCCTTAGCCCATTCTTGCCTACCTTCCTGAGCCCAGCTTTGCTCTGAGACTAATGTGCTCACCCTATCCAATGCTGAGCTTGACTCTCAGAATTCCAGAACCTTAAAAGGATTTCCCAGTTCCTGTATGACTGCATTTACCTTCAGGAATGTCTTGATCACAATGTTATATCTCCCAGTCACACAGACTGAAGGCACTTTTGACTTACCCTTTGACTTCATCTTCCTCATTAATTAACCATCATCAAGTCCCATCAGTTAGATTTCCAAAATGTCTTTGGAACTCATCTTTCCCTCCCAGCCCTACTACTACTGCCTTGATCCAGGTCTTCATTCTTGCTCTCTTGGGTTACTGTCAGATGCTCTTCACTGGTCTCTTGTATCCAGTCCTGCTCCAACCTCCCTCACCCCCAAATGTAACTTTACTTTTTAGAGCAGTTTTATGTTCACAACAAAAGGCATACAAGATCTGCCCCAGAAAGTATCCAGCCATGTAATATGAAAATGAGACATTTACTGAAGAAGATACAAGAAACATTGCACATAGGACAATGATGGCACAGTCCCCTTCAAAGTAGGCACCTTGGGACCTCCCACAGTTCTCCTAGGGTCTCTTCCACTGTTCAAAGCACTCTGCAAAATCCTTTGTTGGAATCATCATCGGCTGTCCCATAGTATTTTCCTGAATCTCATCGATGGTCTGATATCTCTTCCCTTTCAAAGGTGTTTTATTTTAATTTATTTTTAAAAAAGATTTATTTATTTATTTATCTTTAGAGGGGAAGGGAAGGAGAGAGGGAGAGAAATATCGATGTATGGTTGCCTCTCATGTGTGCCCTGCTGGGAACTGGCCTGTAACCCAGGCATGTGCCTTGACTGGGAATCGAACTGCGATACTCTGGTTCACAGGCCTGCACTCAATGCACTGAGCTACACCAGCCAGGGCTTTATTTTTATTTTTTAAGACAGAGGGGAAGGGAGCAAGAAAGAGAGGGAGAGAAATGTCAATGTGTGGTTGCCTCTCGCATGCCCCCTACTGGGGACCCAGGCATGTGCCCTGACTGGGAACTGAACTGGTGACTCTTTGATTTGTAGGCCAGCACTCAACCCAGTGAGCCACACCAGCCAGGGCTCAAAGGTGATTTTAGTTTTGGGAAAAGACAGAAGTTTCATTGGTAGCAGTTTGAATCAAATCATTAGCAACTGCAACATGATGTTCCATCTGCTCTGGTAGTAGAAGCCACAGAACAAATTCATGCCAAGATTCTGCATCAAAATCTTGGACACAGTAGTTTTGGGACTCCCCAGATCAGCTTCTACTTCCTGCATTGTCATTTGCCTATCTTTGTTGATTGCAGCCTGTATATGTTCAACAGTCTCAGGTGTTTTGCTGGTTGCAGGCCTTCCAGAACTGGATCACTTTTGACAGATTCTCAACCATCTTTGAAATGGTTGTGCCACACTTCTATTTGCGCTGCACTCATTGCATTGTCCCCAAAAGCCTTCTGAATCATATGAATAGTTTCTGCAGAGGAATGTTCAAGTTTAACACAAAATTTGATGCAGATTACAAAATTTGATGCAGATTCATTGCTCCACTCAGTCATTTTGAATGCAACAGCCACATGGTACACATGCTTACTCAGCGGGTCTACCACCTCCACTGACTAGTACAGTCAAGTTGTCATTGTTCACACAAGCGCATTCCAGTCCATTATTCTTGGTTGCCAGGTTACAATGATGTCTTGAAAACCATTCTCATTATATGTATATTAATAATGGCTAGACTTTTCCTGGACAGACCTTGTATATATTTCCCATATGCCTCCTGCCCCACACATGCACTACCTCTACCATTATCACCATTTAACTTTTTTTTTTTTTAGTAAAGATCTTATTTGTTTGTTTGTTTAGCGAGAGGGGAAATGAGGGAGGAGAGGGAGAGAAACATGATGTGTGAAAGAAACAGTGATCAATTGCCTCTCTGATGCCCCCAACTAGGGACCTGGCCTACAACGCGGCGTGTGCGCTGACTAGGAATTGAACTGGTAAACTTTTGGTCCACAGGCCCCGCACTCAATCCACTGAACCATACCAGTCAAGGTATCATACTTTAACTTTTAAATGATGCACCCAGAAAGGTTTGTTTTACAAAGGGCAGAAATTTCAGAAAATTGAGTAGAATGAGCTGGAGGGAGGGGGGGTGATAGTGTAATGTGCTACATAAATTTATTAATTCAATTTTATATTTGCAGTTCACATGGATCATGTCTCAGGAGTGTTAAAACAAGAACCAAATTCAGGGTTTTGGATGTTAAGCCTGGATACTTAACTGCTTGTTTTGTTTCACAATATTGTTATTGTTCACCAAGCTTACCGAAGCAAACAAGGTAGCTGTGAAAGTAGTGCTGGAAACCGGGAAACTGGAGGGAGACTAGAAAGTTTCAGGAAAACCAGCAGCTTTCTTCCCTAGAACGAGGGATAGGGACATTCATTCCAAAAGATAGCTTGTTTGCAGCTTCATGTTTATTTTCTATGATTTAACATAGAACGTCAGTGGAATTTAACTTACATTCTTATAATTTTCTAAGGGTGCTCCAAAATTGTTTTGCAGACCGCAGAGAGCAGCAGAAAAAAGAAAAATGACAAGTCTCTTATTGAGGAGTAGAATAGCCTCAGTGGGAACCTTGGGGATCAATACAGACCAAGGCTTTAAACAAGATGGTGTCTAGGACAGGACCGCTCTATCTTTCCGAGTGAAACTCTATGGCAGAACAGAGCCCTACAGTTTTGAGAACTGAAGCCGAGATGTGATAATCCGACCACCGAAGGACAAGCGGAGATGATTCTCCCGCGCATGTGTGTAACGGGAACCCTAGAAGGGTGTCGGGGGAATGGGGGTGGGCTTTGAGACAAGCGGCCCAACCCACAGCGCAAGTTTTCTGAAACGTGTGTTTAAGTCGAGTTAAGCCAAGGTGGGGCGTTTCCTACAACGCATGCGTTGTAGTCGAAACGGGCGCTACCGTGGCGTGGTCTTGACGACGTCCTACGTACCGACGACATCTGAAATAAGGGGTGGTCAAGATTCCCTTTACGCATGCGCCATGAGGTCGAGGCGTTTCCTTCAAAGGGTGCGGAGTCTAGGACTTTTTATTGCGCAGGCGCAAATACTGTCCGGTAGGGATAGTGTCTGTCACGGGGAGGGACGAGGAGGTTAAAGGGATTAAAAAACCGGGTGCGCCTGCGCGTTGGGTACTGGTGGGCGGAACTCCGGATTTTTGAGGGGGCGGGGTCACGTAAACGCATCGTTGGATGGGTAGGTGGGAGGGAAGGTGGAGCTTGGAGAGGATCTGTGCGCTTGCGCAGTGCGGAGGTGGTGGGCGGAGGAACTAGATAGCACGCTTGCGCGGCTGTCACAGGGCTGCTTGGTTGGTCAGTGGGGAGTCGGCGCCTGCGTACTAAGACCCGTGTGCAGCAGCGGCGGCGGCGGCGGCGGCGGCGGCAGCGGGCTCAGAGGCAGCGGTTGGGCTCGCGGCGAACGGACGGCGTCGAGTCATTGCGTTCGCGCGAGGTGAGAGCGGGAAGGACGCGCGTGCGCGGAACCTTGGCTTGAGCCTTGGAGTAGGAATGGGACTGTATGGGGGTCGGGGAGGGGACAGAAGGGAGCGGCGGTGGCTGCCGCACGGGGTTCTATCGGCGAGCGGCGCGAGGTGCGGAAAGGCGCGGGCACGCGCCAGGGTTAGCGCGCGGGGTGACGGTTGGGGCCTGCCGGGTGACGTTGGAGCTACGCAGGGTGGAGGACGGCGAGCCGCCAGGCCACCACGCGGGAGAGGCCGCCGGGCGGCCACTCCGGGGCAAGGGCCTGGGGTCAGATCGCCCCCCTCCCCCGGGGGCAAGAGTACCTGGGCCGTTGAGAACCAGGCGCCGCGCGGCCACGTGAGGTGGGGGAGGGGGCTGTTCGGTGAGAGGGCATTTGGGGGGGGCTGGCTGCTGGCGGGGGGAGGGGAGGCGGCGTGGCTTCGGCCTGGCCCGGCCTTTGAGGAGGGGGCAGCTGTAGCACCGGAAGTGCCCCCCACGGGAGGCTGCCCTTGGGGTCGGAGGCCGCATGGCTGAACGTGGACTGGGTCCGCAAGGCAGCGTGGGGACCCCTCCCCCCAGTTCCCGGCCACCGGAAGCCCCGGGCGGCCACATGTTGGGCGGGAACCGGCAACCCTCTGCGCGAAGAGCAGGTCCACGCGGGTGTCTAAGGGAACTTGGAAATTTGAGGAGTGGGAGAAGCCGGAGGCCTGGATCCTGATAACCCAAAAGAACCCGCTGCCGGCATATGTTATCACTCTCCCATCTCATGGGCCCCTGGAGCTTTACCCCAAAACCTCAGGTGAAGTGAGGGGGCCAACCAGGTGTAAGTGGCACTGTTCTTTGCTGGAACAGGGAAACCGAGGGCGATTGGATGGGAGCCCAACGCAGTGGTGTCTTAAAGTCCTTGGCAGATGAGTTCCCCGCTGTTATAGGTGCTCTAAAGTTGTCATCATTTTCCTCAATGTGTATATTTTGGGGGTTTCTGGTTTTAGAGTCCTTAATTCTACTAGCTTAGTGTAAGTTACACTACTCACTACCACCAGTCTTTTACTTTCGTTTTATTGTCATTCACCAATCCCCACTCCCCCACTTTCTACTGACTTACAGGTCTGAAAAGCCGACAGAACTGTTGCATCTTGGGAAAAGTGGGAGGGCCCTCAACGAGAGACTGGGTTCCTGAGTTCCCTTTGGGAAACGAGATCGAGGTGTTTGGCAGTGGGGTCAGTTAGAAAACAACTTTACTTTCTCCCCCTTGGCTGCCTCTGCAAACGCATGTTACAGTGGTGGGAATCCCCCAAAGAGGCCTTGTGGTTTCCTGTACCAATGACTGGCTCGTGTGTGGATATGGTGGGGTGTAACAGACGGGTGGGGCCCTGTTCTCCAGTATCCACCCTCCCTTCTCCCCTCCACATTAGCCCCGCCCTTTTGCTGGCTCATAGCTACTCACCTAATTATAGCCCTGGTTATGTGTGGGCTAAAGGGGTGGTTGGTTTCAGTGGCAAGTAACACCTGAGTCCTCCCCCTCCAAGGGATTAGGTCTTTGTCCATCTCAGAGATTTGTCATCCTAATGCCCCAAGACTTTCTTTCCCAAGCGGAGTTTAGATTTTATTGGGTTGGGGATCCAGTTTATTCCCCCCACAATACACACATCAGTTGTCACGTATTTGTGATCCCAGTCAATCTAGGAATTTTGACAATGTTTTAATTTTAGGAGAGTACTGGAATTAACAACTGGAAAGAAAATGAGACAATGTTCCAGAGAATTAGTATAAATTGGAGATACTGTTAACCTCCACCCTTACCTCAGTTGTTTTTTTTTCCCTCCACCTTAACTCTAGTTGGAATCAAAGCCTCTTAAAATGGCAGATGATTTGGACTTCGAGACAGGAGATGCAGGGGCCTCTGCCACCTTCCCAATGCAGTGCTCAGCATTACGTAAGAATGGCTTTGTGGTGCTCAAAGGACGGCCATGTAAGATTGTGGAGATGTCCACCTCCAAGACTGGCAAGCACGGTCATGCCAAGGTTAGAATTTCACCTGTTCATGTCTTGCTTTCCCTACATCTCCCATGTTCGTGTGGCTCTTGGCAGCAGGCTGTCATCTGTCCTAGCCCTCATTCTTCCTTTTTCTTTTTAAAAATATTTTATTTATTTATATTTAGAGAGAGGGGAAGGGAAGGAGAAAGAATGGGAGGGAAACATCAATGTGTGGTTGCCTCTCATGTGTCCCCCACTGGGGACCTGGCCTGCAACCCAGGCATGTTCCCTGACTGGGAATTGAACCTGTGACCCTTTGCTTCACAGGCCTGTGCCCAGTCCACTGCGCTACACCAGCCAGGACTACCCTAATTCTTTAACTCTTTTCTTACCTGTCAGCCCATTCCTCGTGTTCAACACTCAGCCCTGTATACCTTTTCTACTATTCTTGCTCCTGAATTTGGGCCTCTTCCACCATCATTCTCTAGGGACCCCTCTATCTTTGTGTGAGTCTCTAACTACTCTTGGTAGTACTTTACGCTCTGGCTATTCAGCTGCTCCTTCCTTACTCCTGGCTTTTACATTTTCTGTTTCTCTTCCCTTGAATCTTTGTAGGTGATCTTTGTATCACTTTGCTCGGGGCTTCTCCATCTTGTGATGGAGTGCAGCCTTCCCTGAAGGGGGCCACTGTAGCTCTGAACTTCCATTCCAGATCACCTAGCTGGCACCTCTCCTTGAGTTCTTTGCTTTCTCCCAGAGAAAGCCTCTCTGCTTTCTTGGGTCCCAATGTTAGTACTTGCCTAGTGCTTTCCTTGATACTTTAGACTGGTTCATCCTTGTATTTCTTGTGATTTGTCCCGTTATCGATTTTTTAAAAACTCTTCTGTTGACCTGGCATTCATTCTGGGTTTCCCACTGATGTCCTAGGATCTTTCTCTGTGTTCTTTCTGGTTTTATTTCCCAGTTGCTTAATTCTTTCTGATCTCCTTCAAGTCACTTTTTTTCAGCTGTCTTCCCTTCTCAGTCCTTTGTTTTACCAAAGGACTCTTTCCCTTTTACCTTCTTTATTTCCTAAGTTCTTAGCCTTTTTTTCTGATATCTAGAAAACTTCTAAACTTTTACCTATGTTCCTCCTACTCCTAGGCTCTTAGGTTTTTATTTGTCAGTTATTTGATAACTGGAGGTAATTAACTGTCCAGGCCTGGTCCAGTTTCCTTTGTGCTGTCAATCCAATCTCAATAGTGGTCTTTTGACCTCAGGTTCTTTTTAGAGGCTTTAGTGTTTCTTGATTCTACAGTTCATTCCCAACTTACCCAATGTTTGCTCAAAGAATCTAATCTGATTTCCCTCATCAGCCAGGGACACCTTGAGCTTTTATTTCCTCCATCCTAGAGTTTGGTTGGGTTTCTCTTTAATGTGATGCACATATACAGGTCCACCTGGTTGGTATTGACATCTTTACTGGGAAGAAATATGAAGATATCTGCCCATCAACCCATAATATGGATGTCCCCAACATCAAAAGGAATGATTTCCAGGTATGTAGATGGTCTTGGTTGAGATGGGTTAGTAGCTGGGGGTGGGGATACAGATTAACCAGAAGAGCTTGTGATGGGAGAGAGGAAAGAAGTGGCAAGAGAGGGTATTTGATATTAGCACTTTTCCACCCTAGTTTGTCTATCAGACCTTTTATCCTCAACCTTCAGCTTCATTCCCTATCTGCCCCCAGCTGATTGGCATCCAGGATGGATATCTATCACTGCTCCAGGACAGCGGGGAGGTGCGAGAGGACCTCCGCCTGCCTGAGGGAGACCTCGGCAAGGAAATTGAGCAGAAGTATGACTGTGGAGAGGAGATCCTGGTATGGTCCCCCATCCCTTTCTTTTGTGCCCAACTTTACTCTGTGCTTTGTCTCAGACATCTGACTCTGTCTTGTTCCTCACAGATTACAGTGCTCTCTGCCATGACAGAGGAGGCAGCTGTTGCAATCAAGGCCATGGCAAAATAACTGGCTCCCATGTGAGTGTGACAGACTTCCCCCAAGTCCCCTTCACATAAGTTGTGGTTGCTTTAGTCTTAATTGTTCCAGGCTTTCTGGTCCCAATATGGTCCTTACCCCTCTTCCTATTGAAGGTATTATCCTGTCTTACCTGGTTTCTCTCTCCTACTCAGGATGGCCATGGTGGAAGCAGTGATCCTCGAGCCTGCAGAGGCCCCCTCCCCCAGCCTGGCCCAGCTCTGGCTGGGCCCTTGGCTGGACTCCTACACAATTTATTTGACGTTTTATTTTGGTTTCCCCTACTCCCTCATTCTGTTGGGGAGCCCCTGCCCTTCATCCTGTTCCCTTGGCCAGGAGTGAGTGAGCCATGGCCTTGGTGAAGCTGCCCTCCTCTTCTCCCCTGGAACTACAGCACTGATGGGGGAGTAGGGTGGGTGCTGCTTGTGGTTTAGGGTTTTTGTTTTGTTTTTGTTTTTTAAATTCATTCTGGAATCAGAAAGCTGTGGATTCTGGCAATTAGTCCTTGTGCCCCACCCACCTCCACTCATCCCTGGTCTGGTCCCTGTTTCCATAGCCCTTTGCCCCAAACACCATCTCCACAGACTGGGGACCAGCCTCCTCCCCATGCCTAAGTCTCTTTCCCCAAATTCCTTTAGCAGGAGAAGGAAGGGGTGGAGAGAGAAGGGGACCTGCCCCCTCCTTAGGCATCTGGGAGGGCCCTGCCCCCATGGGCTTCACCCTCTCCTGTGGGCTCTCTCCCTGACACATTTGTTAAAATCAAACCTGAATAAAACTACAAGTTTAATATGAAGCCCCAACTTGGCTACTTTGAATAAAAGGCATTTGGTGACTAGAAAGTAAATCTGAGAACCAAAGATACAGATTGGACTGTGACCACCAAGTTCATTATAACCCACTGTGACCTACCAGTTACTTCTGTTCCCCCACCCCCAAGCAGCCCTGGCCTAGTCCAGGTGGGAGGTAACACAGAGAGTACCAGCCAGGGGCAATAGTAGATAGATTTTATTGGCCTAGGACTAGGATCCTCGCCCATGGTAGGGGGTGGGGTGAGGCTGATAAAATTTGATGGTCACTTGTGGTAGAATCTTGGATTCTGGCTGTGCTGGAGAAAAGGGAGCCGGGGGCCAGGTTGGCTGGTAGCTGCAAAGCTTGACTGGCAGTGGTATTGAAAGGTGGTTTTGTCAGTATGCATGCTCTCTTCTACTCCACACCCATTCAGTCACCACCCCCAAGAAAAGCAAAAGCCAGGGTGTGGGGGCTACCTGCCTACCCAACCCTATTTTCCCTAGTAGTGTAGGGATTGAGATAGGCAGGTATGATTACCATCCTTACCTTCCCTGCTGGTTGCATCTGTACAGGGAGCTGGGGAGAAGCAAGGAGTCCTGGAGCTGGATGCAGAGCTTGGGGGTGCATGGGGCGCAGGGAGGACTGCAGAGAACAGAGTCAGGACCTGAGGTTCCCCTTCACACGCCCTTCCCCTCACCTCCCACCTGAGGCAATCTGAGGTTCCCCTTAACACAGCCCTTCCCCTCACCTCCCAATGCTTTCCACTCACTGAGTCAGAGAAGCCAGTCTGCTGGTTAGCATGTTCCATTTGCTTTTGTAGGGACAGGGTACCACTAGGCTGGAGAAACCCTAGGTAGATAAAAAGATGTGAAATTACTCAAGTAGAGAATGGGAAAAGGACTTGTGGATCTAGGGCCCCTGAGTGAGGTGTTATCACCTGTCTGAGTGGGCTGAAAGTGGCTGTGCACGGCATAAGGCTGTGGCTGTGGCTGAGACAAGTACTGCACTGCAGGAAATGCTGAAGGTGCTGAGGAAAGCAGGAGGCACGTAATTTAGAAACTCCTTTTTGTCTGTAGGAAACTCCTCCCTTTGGGCCTCGAGAAAGGCCCCACCCCCTTTTCCCATCACTCACCTCTGAGCTGTTGACTAGGGCTATAGGCCGGTTGGGTGGGTCCATAGTGAGGTGGGGGCTGAGCAGTCCCATAGGCACCGCCTGGACTGCCTTGGAATTGCCCGTGCTCTGGGGTTCCTGCGAAAGCTGCTGAGCCCACATAATGCCGGGTCTGAGGATGAGAACTCACTGTAAATTCCTTGACAGGAGAATCTGAAGTGACTTGCTTATGTCTCATTTTCCCCTGCACAATTAAGTCTTAAACTGATGATTTGAGTACTGGTTTAGTAAGGTGGGTTAAAAAAAAAAGGGGGGGGGGACAATCCTACTCCTCTTACTGTAAGCACTTGGGGTCCAAACATCTGTTTGGCTCTGTCAGTTGCCATGAGGGTGCCTGGGCGATTGTGTCCTCCAGGGCTTCCTAAGAGAGGAAGAGGGGTTTCATGATGCTGAAATGGTAGTCTACAGGACCCAGAAGGATCCATTCTGACAGAGGTTTCTTTAATCCTCACCCTGCATGCTGAGGAGATGAGTTCCTGTGTGAACAGTCAGACTCTGTGGGTATGCAGCTGATGTCAGAGTGGTTAAGTCACTAGAGTGAAAGGAATCAAGGTCAAAAATAAAGGATAAATGCCCCCTCAACATTAAACAATGGTCTTTTGTTACCTGACCCCAATTACTTTTTTTGCTCCCAATTTAAACTTCAGTTCTCCAGTCCCACCTCTGTTCCTTCCGCCTTCGTTTTTCTTCCTCATGTAAAACTTTCTTGAGCTGCAGGAAAAGCTGGTGCTTTTCTTCCTGTAGGGCCAAAAGCTTCTCTTGCAACTTCAGGATCTGAGAAAGGAGGGGAGGGAAGAGAAGATGAAAGTAGGAGAGCCAGAGAAGAAAAAGCTGGGAGAGATCAAGGGGTTGATGAAACATACTTGTTCCTTGGTCTCCTCTAATGACATTCTCTCTTCCATCTCCTTCTTCTTTCTTCTCTCCTGTTCTTCCTTCATCTTCTGTTCCATCATCTTGTCTACTTCTTCTTCCTCTGGAAGAAGAGTCAAACGAAGGAAAAGTGGCAGGGTTGTTAAAATAATTAGAACATTACAGACTGAAGACCAGCCAAAACTACTTATCCCGATGATCTTTAAGGCTCTCGAAATGACAATAGGGGACACGGAGAGGTAGGTTTCACTAGGTGCTCTCCAAGGTCCTTCCCAGCTCAAGGAGTTCAGACCTGGCGATTAAAACTCCCACCGCAGCGTGTTCCATCCCTCCTCTAGCTTTGCCCCCCCCCCCCCCCCCCGGTGTACGGGTCTACTAGCAGTACCGCCATAGGCGTGTGCCCTCCCACTTTGGCCCAGACTCACCCTGCCGCTTGCGCTCCCGTTCCATCATGATATGCCGGTGCAATGCCCTGGCCATGGCGTTGGAAAGCTTGGGGCGCTCCAGGAGCGCAGGCATGGTGCTGTCGGGGGTGCTTGCGTTGTGGGCGCCCGGCTCTGTCGCTGACTGCCAGACCTTGGACTGGGCCTGCGGCAAGACGAATGCTCAGAGGTTACGGCGTCCCGGCGGCCCAGACGGAAGGCCACCCGCCCCGGTCACATGTACAGTGACCACCACGGCTCCAGGGCGCAAGCGCGTAGGGGTCTACAGCCTTGGGGTTCCCACCCCCTTCCCGGCCATCCCCAGCTCCGACCCCTCCCTACCCCCTTTTTCTTCGTTTCCTCCGAGGCCTCCTGCGCGCCCCAGCCCTGCGTCACATCCGGTGGCGGGGGTTAATCTTTCCGAGGTCAGAACGGCAGTTTCACACTTTGGGCTGGGGGGGGGAAGCGGAAGTGCCGGGGACGGGTGCCTGTGAAGTCCAAACCTTTCCAGTTGGCCCGCCCCGCGACAACCACCCTTGGGCGCAGCTGCAGTTGGCACACAGCCGCGAAACGCTCCAATCCGGCTCTAGTCCCGTGGATCCTTTGGCGGGGACCCTGATTGGGCGGGCCTGTGATCCCCCCAGGGCATGCAAGAGAGGCGAAGCAAATGCTCAGAGACAGTGTTTATTGGCTCCTTCGAAATCAGAGTCAGGACAACTTTACAGAGGACCCAACCCCTCCACTGCGCTCGCCCTTCCCTATTCCTGCGCGGGGGCCACAGGGAAAAGCAGCTTCATGGGGGGCACAGAGAGACTCCTTTGGGATTCACAGTAACCAAGAACAAAAACAAATAAATTAAGTGATACGGGGGTGGGGAGTCTGAAGTAGGGAGTCCTGTTCCCCAAGTCAGTGCATGAGCAGGGGTTACCCAGGGCCTGGAGCTGGGCTCCCCACAAACTCCTTTGCCTCAGAGTGAGTGTTCTGGGGCCCTGGACACGGAGATGTGCTCCACTTCCCATCTAAATCCAAAAGACTGCCTACTTGCTCCTGTGCGTCTGCCAGACTGAGCACCATGCATGCTGTGGGTCACTGGAATGAGGCTTAGGCAGTCGTCACTCAGAGTCCGTGGGCCCAAAGCCCAACTGTGCTTGTAGTAGTGAGGTCTCCCCTCCTCATTCCACCCGTACCAGCAGGGCATAGAGGAGTGTGGCCCCCTTCTCCTTGGTTACCCATTCAAGTTCAGCTGGGCTGAAGTGAGGGTCATGAGGTTCTCTGAGGACAGCAGAAGGAGGGCCAGGAGTGTAGGAACCAGGGCGCACACACACCTGGAAAGCCACCTGGGCTTGGTGTGTCCGCTGGAATTTGGGGTCCCGGAATCTGTCAGGCAAAAAGTAAAAATAGGGTGGTGAGGCCTCTGTCACCTCTCCCCCTTGCTAACTGCAACCACTATACTGGCCTTGCTGTTCCTAGGAATCACTCCCACTTTATAAAAGGGACTTGGATCTAGCTCTTCTATCTAAATGGTACTCCTCCCAACGCCTGCTCAGCTAACTTCCTCACCTCCTTCAGCCTTTGTTCAAATCTTACCTTAATGATACCCAACCTGACTACCCTATTTAGTATGCCTGCCCTAACCACACTTCAAATGTATTTGTTTACTCTGAAAGAGAAGGGAAGGGAGGGAGAAAGAGGGGGAGAAATATCGATGTGTGAGAGAAACATCAACCAGTTGCCTCCTGCATGCCCCCAACTGCGCACCTGGCTTGCAACCCAGGCATGTGCCCTGACTGGGAATCAAACTGGCGACCTTTAGTTCGCAGGCTAGTGCTCAATCCACTGAGCTACAACAGGCAGGGCTTCAACCATACTTCTAATCCACTTCCCCGATACTCTACTTTTTGTTTCCATAGTACTACTTTCACCTTTAAAAATACTAAATACTTATTATGCATAAACATTCTAGAGAAAACTTAAGTTCCACAAGAACAAGTTTTCCCTTTTTGCTCACTGAGATATCACGAAAGAAGTGGCATTTGTTCAACTAACATGTGAAGAAAGGGTTGGGATGGAGACTGAGGAAGTAGCAAAACATGGTGGGAGCAGGGAGGTTAAATCATGGAGACCCTAGAGGCTCTGGATCCTCCCAGTACTTACTGCACTTTGGATGCCAGGGTTTCAGCCCCAACATATTGGATGGAGGGAGAAAGCAGAACTGGAGGGGGCTGCTCCTCCCGAGGAGGTGCGCAGTTCTCGCCTGGCTCCTCAAATTCTCCCCTTGGCTCTCCCTTCAAGGGCCGACAGCTCAGGATGGAGGCAGTGCCTGTGAGGAGAACTGAGTCAGGATAACCCCGCTTTGGCCCACAGCCTCAGCCTGCTCTGGTTCTGCCAGAGCTACGGTACCTGCTCCCAACTCCCCTCGGTCCAGCACCCTCCGGATAACTGCCACATTGCTGCCATGATATGCCATGTGCCACTTCTTGGTTAGTGTCCCAGCCTCCAGGTGGGGATTCACCCTAGCAAGTAAATAGATAGGGCAGATAG